TGTAAATGTTATCAGTGATATTGATTTTCTAAACCAGAATATGCCTGCTAATTTATATTAATTATTACCCACTTATGGTAGTTCAGTTTGTGTGTCCACTTGGCTGGGTCTGCTTGAGTGGCTGGAGAGTTAGTGGTAGTTATTCCCCATGATGAGATTGGCAATCAGCTCCATGGTGGGATCTACCACAAACAGCTGAGTAGCTGTCTTTGGGATGTTGTCTGTTTCCTGTATATAAGGAGAAGTCTTGGGGATAGTCTCTAGCTTATGGCATGCTTGAACCCTGCATGTAGCCATGTCATTGTTCAGCAGCCTGCCATGCTCCGCCAACCTGGGGACTTACAATGGACTTGAATGAATGGCCTGCCATGTTTTGGTAACATTGGACTGTGCCTTTTTACTTATCAACCTTGGGCTTGGCAGCCTCAGCAGCCAGCAGCTGTCTGAGTGAAGAAAAGACTCCAGCTTCAGTGGGCTGGGAGCTGGAGGCAGAGCCGCAGCACAACGTCAAGGAGCTTTCACCCATCCCCTAGAGCCTGGCACTTTGAACGGGACTTAAAGCCTCCAAAGTGTAAGAGAATAAACTAATTTGTTAAGGTCATCCCATTTATGGTATATGTTTGCCAGAGCAGCGCTAGGTAACCAGAACACCACTTCTTCTTTGTGAGTTCTGAATAAATGGAGATATAAGCACAAAGTCAGACAGATGTAAATAATAGCTTCATTTGTGATAAATGCAGATTGAACAATATAGCTTTGATGAAAGGGTTGCCTCAAACTGATCTCTGTGAAGTTAGAAGCAGAAATTGCAAGGTATGGATACTCTGTCCAAGTGAGCTAACAAAGTGGCCGATAAAGACAAGAGGGGAGAATGTTTTTGGTATGGATAGCCAGTCATTGAACAGATTAGGTCATTCATGAGCAGTGATTTTACCTCAGTATCAATAAGAAGATAAATGTAGTAGAAAATCAGCCAACCACTAAGTTTCTTTTAACCATTCTCTAATGGAAAATCTTAAGGAGCTCTGGTGGCATAGTACCTAAGGCATTTGACTGCTAACCAGAAAGTTGGCGGTTCAAACCAGCCAGCCATTCCACAGAAGGAAGACTGGGCAATCTGCTTCCATAAGGACTTACTGCCTCGGAAACCCAATGGGGGTCACTATCAGTCAGAATTGATTCAATGCCAGTGAGTTTGGTTGTTTGTATAATGGAGAATTTTAAATATATTTTTAAAAATTTGTTGTTGTTGTTGTTGTTATGTGCCATCAAGTCAGACCCAACTCATAGCGACACCTCCTTGGGTTTCTGAAGTCACATCACTATGGAATAGATTGCCTAATCTTCCTTCCGAGGAGTGGCTGCTGGGTTGTACCGCCAGCCTTCTGGTTAGCAGTTAAGTGCCTTAAGCACTATGCTAATAATTAGCA